ACAAATGCTTGCACCATCCACTCACATGTCTCCTTCCTCTCATCCACAAATGCCCTCAGTCTCACAACCACTATCTCATTGCCCCCAATCACAGATAATCCCTACTCATCAACTCAACCAACAGCCAGCGTACCCAGCAGTCCCTCTGAGGGCTACTGTTCCTGTTCAACCTCAGGTACCCCATGGCCCTCTCATATCACAGATACAAATGCAACCCAGCGCTCCTTCACAGCATCAAAACCACCCTCATCCTCAAATCCTTCCCCAGTCCTGTCCTCCAGCACTCCCTCACATTATCTACAAACCTCAGCCAACCATTCCTCCTAGCTCTGCACCTTTGAGTTTTCCAGGAGGTGTTCCTATGGTTTCCAACCAGTCTGTGGCGCCTCTGCAGCCTCAGTCCCAGCCACCCACTTCACAGCCTTTAGCCTCGCAACAGCTGCCCCCGGGAGGCCCAATATCGTATGCTGTTCCACAAGGTGGGAACATTGCTCCTGGAACAATGCAGCATCCTGTAGCTGCTGCTTCCCCAGGGCCTCAAAGCATGATAACTCCATCCTCAGGAGCACCAGGGGCACCACAGCCTCATGTGCTACCTTCTCCTGCCCCATCACCTTCTCCTGGTCCTCCCTCCCTTGGTATGGTCACCCAACGACCTTCTCCTGCTCTTACCCCAGTTGGAGGAGCAACATTGTCGCAGTCCTCAGTTCAGGCTCCAACACCCACTGGTCCCGTGACTCCATCTGACTCCACTTTGTTTCAGCGACAGAACTCTAGTACTGACGACTTGCTTTCCTCAAGCCCAGAGAGCCAGCATGGAGGCACCAAGGACACCGCCAATGTCTTACTACCCACAAAAGCTGACCCTCAGGAGGAACATCACAGAAAAAAAGCAGAGGCTGTGAGACTTATCCAAGGTGACCCTTACCAAGCACCAGAGAGGGTCTCAAAACTCAGTGCACAGCTAGAACGGTTTAGATCAACAGTCCAATCCTTAGAGCGCCCGACAGGGGAAGGAGGTCTGTCAAAACTTGACGCTCAATGGAAAGAACTGCAAGAGCAGCAGGAGAAGGATACTCGCCAGCTCTCAATCGCTATTGCTCGTTGCTATACCATGAAGAACCGCCATCAGTATGTGATGCCTTACGACTGCAATCGTGTTGTCTTGTGCTCCGGTAAAGATGATTACATCAATGCCAGTTTCATTGAGGACCTGTCTCCATATTGCCCCCGGCTCATTGCAACACAGGCTCCCCTCACTGGCACTGCAGCTGACTTCTGGCTCATGGTTTATGAGCAGAAAGTTTCTGTAATCGTCATGCTAGTGTCTGAGCAAGAACTGGAGAAGGTAAATCTCCTTTGGCATGAGTTTTTCTGAAAAGTTCTAGAATCCCATTGGCTTTTAAAATTATTTTATATGATTTACAATGATTTTCAATTTATTCTTAGCAAAAGGTGTTGCGGTACTTTCCATCAGAGAGAGGCCAACAACTTGCTCAGGGGCCAATCACCCTTACCCTGACCACTCAGAAGAGTACTCCTACCCATATAGAGCGCATGATAGGACTGCAGTATCGGGACCAAAGTTTGAGACGCACCATCGTACACATTCAGTTTACTTCATGGCCTGAACTGTGAGGACTCATTCTTAAACAGTCAATCTATTAAAATTGCTTAAAACACTAATAACTTTTGTTTGTATTTTCTCACAAAAAGGGGCCTTCCAGAGAGTAAAAGCAACCTCATCCGTTTCATTCAAGAAGTCCATGGACATTACCTGCTTCAGCGCCCACTACACACTCCAGTCGTAGTGCACTGCAGGTACCATACTTTAACACATAAAGGACATTACAAATGATATTGAACACAGACGAGGCTAAGCAAAAGCAGAAAATAACAAGTACATTTACGGTTTTGTTTCTGTTTCTCATAGCTCTGGTGTTGGCCGTACTGGCGCCTTCTGTCTGCTTTATGCAGCGCTGCAAGAAATTGAGGCTGGCAATGGTATACCTGACCTGATCCAGCTGGTGAGGAAGATGAGGCAGCAAAGGAAGAACATGCTGCAAGAAAAGGTAATGGTACTCTCCCAATGAGGTTTGAGATTTTGCACAGTGTTAAGTTGATAGAATTTAATGGTACTTTTGTCAAAAAACCTCCACAGCTTCATCTCAAATTTTGCTATGAGGCTGTCCTTAAACATACAGAGCAGGTTCTGCAACGTCATGGCATTATTACATCCCCTTGCACCAGGACCCCAAATAACATTGCATTAAAGGTAACAACTTATTTCTTACTCGCTTGTCTTTTTATAAACCAAACAGCAGTGTGATTGTTATATTTTGTGACTTTCTAGTCATACTCGCGACAGGAGTCTCAGGACATTGTTCTGGGAGGAGACATGCCTATTAGTTCCATACAGGCCACCGTGGCCAAACTTAGCATTCGACCACCCAGTGTTGACCATGAACAAGAGCCCGGCCAAGACCAGATGCCCTCTGTTTCTGAAGCGGCAAGCACAGCGGAACCAGATTCTACAGATATGTCACTTCAGCCTTCTCAGGACTTGCTTTATGAAGCTATGCCTGATTCCCTCAGTCCCCCCCTCTCTTGCACCTCTTCTCCAGGCAAGACACAGTCACCTTCGCCTCCTAGCGGCGAAGGGAATGGGTTCACTGGGTCTACTCCTGCATCTCCCGTCTCAAATCACCACCCATCCACTGAAGCAGCGCCTCATGCTCCTTCTCCGCCCCCCTCCTCATCTTTAGATCTGCTTGCTTCTCTCACACCTGAAGCCTTCACTCTGGACAGTGCCCATCGAGGCAAGCAGCGGATTAACAAGCAAAGCTTCCTTCAGCCGCAAGAAGGTAAAGGCCTGCAAGGACCACCAGAGGGCGACGATCCGCTCAGTAGTTTGGATCCTCTCTGGACACTCAACAAAAGCTGAAACAACATAACCAAGCTCTCTTTTATCTTCTCCCCCACAGGCAGTCTTCTTATGAACTGTTTCTGACCCCGTGTAACATCTTGTCCGTGTTCATGCCTCTTGGACCCTATCACTGTATGTATGTCTGTCCACTTGTGTCCTGAAAAGTCTTTTTTTCAGTTGGCACTTTTCCAGCTCTGATCCTGGTTACATTCCGTAAATCCGGTCTCCTAGCATGCACTCCTAATGCCGTGGTGTTTGTGATTGCCTGTAAGGTGCCTCTGCAGTGGGCACCAAAAATGGAAACATTGAGAATGGAAACAGTGTGATAGAAAAACTGACATTCAAGCTACTGTTGTCATTATCAGAAAACATATTAACAGTTTGACTGAGCGACTGTCTGCTTGCCCTTTGTACACATGCTGCTTACACTGTGGGTTGTATATTATTAGTCACCGCACCTGTCTTTGAGCTACAGTGATCTGCAAAGTATATGTAGGGACAAATTGAAGCGGGTGATGAAAATACGACTTAATGTACTCGTTATACTTAAAACACTCAAAATTCTGAATCACTTCAGAAATCATAGCATTTTTATGAGCTGATTCTTTCTTTGAACTGTGTAAATAAATCTTAACAAATGT